GCAGTAGAGTCACAGGTTTTACTGTCCATGCTGAAGTTATTCATTTTGTCTTTCAGCTCTTTGTTCTCTTCTTCTAAGACATTGTTTTTGGTTAAGGCATCTAACAATTTAGTATGAATAACCTTAATGTCTTGTTTTAATCTATCATTTTCTGATCTTAAGAGAACATGGTGATTTTGGACTTTTTGGAAATCTTGTAATAAAGATTCCAGTGTAATATTGGTTGGTCCAGAATCACTAGAGCTATAAGAAGAGCAGGATGTTACCTCAACATCATTGTAGTGGTCTTTGGCCATTAGGCATTTAGGGGAGCTGCATTCATCATCTTTACTGAGCCATCTGCTGCTTTCTCCAGTGACCCAGCTGCCGCCTTTTTCAGCCACCTGCCAGGATCCGAGGCATAGAAGTGCTTCCTCTGAGCTTTCAGATGAAGAGCTTTCATCACTTGAGCTGCTTTCATCTTCAGATTGGGGTTCCTCCTTTTTCTTTTCACTGACAAATGCTTGTCTCTTGCTTTTGAAGTCCCTCTTGTAACTAGCTTTGGGACCAGTCCCCTGCTGCCCTTGATGCTTCTGGGCTAAGGGCAGAGGGCATTCATTTTTGTAATGTCCTGGTTGTCTACAGTTGTAGCACAGAACAGTTTCCTCACTAGATTGAGGTCTCCCTTGTCTCCTAGGTGGCAGGTTGTATGCTTTCTTTGGAGCAGTTCCCTCCTTCTTCATGAATCTTTTAAATTTCCTCACAAACATAGCAAACTGCTCGTCAGTGAGGAGATTATTGAGGGATTTTTCAGCAGATTTTGAAGTGCTTGGCTCAGACACTAGAGCCAGTGTCTTGTATTCATCTTCCTTCTCTTCTTTGATCTCCTTCATTTCAAATTCATAGGCCTTGAGATCACTGAAGAGTTTGTCAGTTGACAAAGTTCTGAGATCTCTGCTATCTCTCATAGCAGTTACCTTCATGTCCCATTTTGATGGCAGACCTCTCAAGATTTTAAGGGAAATTTCCTTTTGAGAAAGTTCTTTCCCAAGGTCAGAGATCTCCGCCACAATCTTCAGGAATCTGGATTCCATCTCATGGATAGATTCAGATGACAGCATTTTGAAATCCTCAAATTTCTTGAGGGCTATGGTTAATTTATTGTCCTTCTCCTGTTCATCCCCTGCTCCAATCTTTGTGAGCTCATCCCAGACATCTTTGGCAGTTTCGCATTTCCTGATTCTGGGAAATATAGATTCATCAACAGATTTGAAGAGAATGTCCTTGGCAATGTTGTCAAGATTGTTTCTCTTCCTGTCCTCAGTTGTCCATTCCATTTTGGGTTTTGGAATGTATACATCATCTGTCCCTTCTGTGGTTCTGGATGTGATGACCTTCATTATTTTGATAGGTCCATCAGTAATTACTTCAAGCATCTCATCATGTAAAGCACTGAGATGTGCTCTCATCCTTATTTTCCAGTCATCAAATTTGTTCAAATTGAACAGAAGGTTCTTGGCTAGCTGACTGTCCATTTTTGAAGTGTTTGGGGGGTAGAGTGGTTTGGATCTTTAGTTCAAATTAGTCAGAAACTGACTCTAGGAACACACGGCTCTGATACCACTTGATGGTCCCGGATAGGGTAAAAGTCTAGAGGGGGGGGGGTGAATAGACTTTTAAATCTTTTTCAACTTTATGAAGTTTTCCCTCTAGATGAATTGCTCAATAATCGTTTGAGAGATTAACAGATGCACAGCGGAAGTCTTTACCCTTTATGTAATGAGTGTTTGACCATTTTCTAATTCTGGAAAGATTGGACTTAGATAGCTAGCAGTTGGCTTGGCAGTTAGCTTAGCAGTTGACTAGGTAGCAGGAACCTGCTGAGGTAACTGCTAAAGAAATATTGACTTTATGATGAGAGTGATGATGAAACGTTGTTTAGAACGCAAGAAGGATGTCTGAAAAGGTACTTAAGTAAGGTTAAGATGAAGTTTAACTGGAGCAGTGGTCTCAGCAGTTGGGTGGTACTGAGGAGACTGCTGAGGCATCTGCTATACTTTGAAAGTGAATTTCCGAGAACTGATAGAACAACCTTTTTGGTAATGCTTTAGTAAGTGAACTGTGTGGAGATAGCCTCAAAGAGAGTGAGTAATTAAGCAGAAGGATAAGCAGTTGGGTCAGTTAAGACAACTGCTTAAGATGCTGCTGGCAAACTACAATCTTTATACGAGAAGTGCTGGGTGTGTGTTTTGTTGAATGAAGTGAAATCAACACACGATGTATCCTGGTTCAGAGGTGGTGTAATCCTCCTACATCCAGTCCCATTCTCTTTCAAATGGATTTCCACTAAAGTATTCAGCCCAATACACTTAGTGCCAATCTAGCCTTTACAACTCTTAGGCCTAGATTGAAGGTTTTTCACAATGAGTATAACACCACTCAAAGTTACTCAGTCCTTAGACTTTTCTCAATTGATCCAGTGGGGATCAAAAGGTACTCTATCTATCTAACTACACTTTAGGATCCGAACAACTGTTCTCCTAAGTGTTTACAACCACTTGTGAAATGTTACAAGAAAGTTCTAACCTCCAACTATGAACTAAGCTCTAAAAAATGTAAAAGTATTGATCTGATCTAAGAGCTTAGTGAAGCATGAGGCTAAGCAGAGAGTAAAGTTGAGTTTGCACTTTCTCTTTTGCTAGATATCTCGTATATGCTTTGATGAAAGTATTTCTCCACTTAGGATGCTCAAGCTTGTTTTGAACTCATGCTTCTACCTATATTTATAGGCCTTCATGGTTGATCAATCTCATCCGTTGGTTGAGATGGATTAATCTTGTGCGTTGAGGGTCTGGCAAGGACGAATTGTACATTTGTCTTCTTGTGCAGGAGCTTTTAATTTCTTTTGTTTTCTGTCTTGAATGATTGGGCTGCGGTATGGGTGTGTCTTCAGCCGCTGCAGCTTTACTCCAAGAAGTCCTCCCATGCTGTAGGACCGTGTATTTAATTTTTGTCTTCCAATCAATATTCAATGCATTCGAGCATCTCAAATGTGACCTATATTTAATCTTTGAGTAAAATGATATATGCCGGTAGGATTTAAATATCCTATGAAGGTAAAAAGTTACCTTATTGCATTTTTATGTATCCGGTAATATATCATTAATCTTAAAGATTGTACATTTATGTTTGTCACTTATGATTTAAATTTAAATGTTACTTCTGAAAATAAGACTCAATGTATATTTGTTTAGTATAGTGGCATCATCAAAATCTATCAAAATTGGAGACTAACAGTATCTTATAGACGATATGCTTAATCTTGGCTATAACGTCCTCCTCAGTCTTCTTGCCATCATCAAAGCGGATCTCATTTCTTGCATGCCATATGTAATACACCACGGCGCATAGAGCAATTCGGGCCGCCTTTGCTTTCAATGTTGATCCTCTGTGCTTCTTCGAAATCCATTTGATTGAGCTAAGCAATGTAGACATTTGATGCCCAAATCTCATCCATTCTCGAATCTTGCCCCATACCCTACAAGTAAATGGACATAGGAAGAATAGGTGTGGAATTGATTCCAATCCACCCTTACACAAGTCACATCTATTAACCATATGGAGATAACCGGGGCTATCTTGGGTAGGCAACCGGTTCCTCAAAGCCAACCAAACATTAAATGAAAATTTCGGGGGGATATAAGATTTCCAAATGAAACTCATGGGAGTCCTAGGGATCCCTTTAACTCTTAGAAGCTCGTAAACCTTGGCGGAGGCAAGTTTGCCATTAATGCTTCTAGTGTTAAGGCCCAAAATCATATCATTCAAATTATTAAAGCATCGACAGATTTTATCTCTAATTTGCCCCAACCTCTTCATCAATTGTGAGTCACGATTATGCGGGATAAAATCCCACACACTTCTCCCATGGAGATATATGCCATTAACCCATCGAACCCATAAGGTATCTTTTTTGTTATGGACATCCCATAGTGTGCGAGCAAGGAGGCTATCGTTCCATATTCTAGCATTGTGGATTCCCAAGCCACCCTCCTCTTTTGGGAGACATATGTCATCCCAAGCCACCTTTGAAAACTTGCCCCCCATAAGAAAATTCTACAAAATGAAACAATCCTATTCAACACAGTTTGTGGCACCGGGAAGACTTGGAGCCAAAACGATTGGACCCCTTGGATCACCGATCGAATTAGCTCTATCTTACCGGCATAGGAGAGTGTTTTCGTATTCCAAGCGTTAAGGAAGTCTTTGACCGTATCTAATAACGGTGCGTATTACGCAACCGATATTTTTAAAGGGGCAAGGAGTATTTCAAGATATCTAACCGGAAACGTACCTTGCCCAAAGTCGACGAGGCTTAAAATGTTTTGCAAGTCAAGGTCCCTCACCCCACCCACGAAGATATTGGATTTTCCGTGGTTCACTCTAAGGCCCGATGCATCTCCAAATTCTTTAAGAGATTCGACCAATATTTCTATGGAATAGGTATCCCCTCTCGAAAAGAGCATTAGATCATCCGCATAGGCCAAATGGGTAATACCCAAAGAAGCGCATTGGGGGTGGAAATTAAAATTTCCCCCTCGGGTTCTCATGGTGAGCAACCGAGAAAAATAATCAAGGCATAGAACAAAGAGCAATGGGGACATTGGGTCCCCTTGCCTTATGCCTCTTCTACCTTCGAAAAATCCATACAAAGATCCATTAATTGAGACCGAAAAGGAAACGGTAGACACACACTCCATAATCCATGCAATAAATCTAGGAGGAAAGCCCAAACCCCCTAAGACTTTTTCGAGAAAGTCCCACGATATCGTGTCATAGGCCTTGTGCAGATCCACCATAATCATACATCTTGGCGAGATCTGCTTCCTATTGTATCCTCTAACAAGTTCCTGGGCTAGGAAAATGTTATCAAACATAAGGCGGCCATCCACAAAGGCACCTTGGGCTTGATTAACCAACCCCGAAAGGCATGGATTCATTCTAGCCGCAACGATTTTCGTAATAACTTTATATAAGATATTCATGCACGATATGGGTTGATAGTCCGAGACCTTCGGGGAGTGGGTGGTCTTTGGGATAAGCGCAATAATAGTGTGATTGATCTGTTTTAGCAACTTTCCCGACACAAAGAACTCCCTAACCGCTCGAACCATGTCCTGTCCTCCCCAACAATATCCCAATTGGATTTGAAAAAGGCTGAGGAGAACCCATCCGGCCCCGGTGCCTTGTCATCCCCAATGTCAAACAAGGCATCTTTAATTTCCTTATTTGTTACAGGAGCAAGAAGACCATCATGAACACTTGGTTCAATCAAGGGGCCAGTTCCTAAAACCAAAGGGTCAAGGTCAAGGTTCTCCGTACAAGTACCAAATAAATCAACAAAAAAATTTACAAACTCATTCGCTACATGATCTAAGGATGTGGTAAGGGTGCCATCTTCCAAAGATATGGATGAAATTGCATTCCGTGCCATATTCCTCTTCACGATAGCATGGAAATACCTCGTTCCCCTATCTGCCTCAAGAATGTGTCTGGCTTTGGCTTTTTGTTGGAAGAAGGATGTTTCGGCATCCCCATAAAACATTGCCCTTTTTCTAGCCACCACAACCCGGTCTTTAAGCCCCTCATCCAGAGGAGATTGGAGCAACAATTTATTCAACGATTTAAATTCTTCCTTTGCCGTCTTGGCTTTTGTTGTGATGTGGCCAAACTCCAATGTATTTAGCTTCTTCAACGGTGCCTTTAGTGCCTTAAGCTTTTTTACAAAAGAGTATTGAGCTGTACCAACAACAAAAACACTCCAAGTCTACACAACAATATTAGTAAAATCACAATGTTTAATCCACATGTTAAAGAACCTAAAGGGTTTCAGCCTTAAAGAGGAATCTTGGAGTATTGATACTATGGTAGCCGTATGATCAAACTCCGCCTCCATTTCATGGAAATGGGCCTTACAAGAAATACCTTTAATTCCCCAAACATCATTCAATAAGACACGATCAAGCTTGGCCCATAAAGAGCCCCTATTCCACGTGTAGAATTCACCCGTGGATGGGGCATCTTCAAGGTTAGGCCGCAATTTAAAATCAACGAGAGCTTGCATCATGTACGCCGTAGGTGGGGTAGACCCCACCGTTTTCGTTTGGGGCGCACACACAATTAAAGTCACCCGCTAGTAGCCATGGTTCTGTAATACGGTCCCCAACAGTAGCGAGATATTCCCAAAGTGCCCTACGCTCCAAAACGGTGTACAAAGTATACACAAAAGTCGCCCAAAAAACAGTTTGAGTGGTTCGGCACATGCATTTAAAATGTATATATTGGCCCTCAATTTCTTGAACAACACAAATAATTAAATTCGGGTTCCACATGACCACCATTCTTCCACCATCAATTTTAGAAAAATTATTTTCAAAAAGCCAACCCGGCCACTTGTTTGAAATAAAATTATTTAATTTAACCAACGTTAATTTTGTTTCTAAATAACAGCAAAAGTTAATTTTATTACGTTTAACAAAATCGGTAATAGTATTATGCTTGGAGGTTTTATTCAAACCTTGCACATTCCACGAAGCAACTCTAATCATCAATAGAGAGAGAAAATGAACCAAGCTCTCAAGAAAGATAGAGGTCCGAAGCATATGCATCATCTTCGGGGTCTATCCCTCCTTTGTCCTTCTTTTACTTCCTTGCTCTTCTCCTCATTTCTTTAAGATACTTTTTATTCCTGTCTTGGTTAGCATCAAAGAAAGATAAGACACGTTAAATAAAAGTAGGTTTGTCAAAGTCATACCATTCACCTTTTTTCTTAACCTCTGGGCAACTTAGGAGAAAGTCCTCGGTAAAAGTGACTCCAGATTCATCAAAGGAGACTGGTTCCAGTTTTGACCCTAGCTTGACTGTGACCACTCCTTCAGGAACTTCGTCTGGTGCCCAAGCATACGCAACAGTCTTGCTTTTCTCATTTAAAATGACCATGGTTACAACATCGTCAATGCCCATCTCATACATGTTTGTAACTAAGTAGCCTTTGCCCCCATTAAAGGACTGGTCTCCTCGGTTTTCTTCATATGCAACGGGAGGCAGTAGGTTGGCAGCTTCTTGAATGGAAAGTTGCTCTTTAGTTCGCAAGAAATTCAAGTTTTGGTTGGCCTGGACATCAAAGAAACACGCAACATTAAGGAAAAAAATACTTAAATTGAATGCATACCATGTTCTAGTGCGCTTCACTCCGGGAAGGGCGACCAAGCAAGGGTCCGTGAATTCCATGGCAGGGAGATCCGGGTTAGTCTCTCTTTGGAGGTTCCTTCCAAGCCTAGTCACTGGAATATAGCTTTTAATTTGGTGCCGCTTTTTGACGAAGGCTTCGTGCGCACCATCCTCTTTGGTAACAAACTTGTTAACCACGTCATCAAGTTCAATTTCATGCACACTTACAACTCGGCGCCCTTCCCACTCAAACACATCAACATTAGGAGGTGGAATTGCCATAGTAGTCGCGGATCCAGCAGCCATGGCAGGGAGTTTAACTTGCAGTTTGCTAGGAACATTGTCCAGTTCCTTGTTAGCAATATGGGGTGCTTCCTTGCGCTGTGGTTGTAGCTTTGGTCCAACTGTTTTAGAAGTTGAGGCAACGTCTTTGGCAGGAGCTTCCTTCCTCACATATGCAGTTTTCTTTTTATTCCTATTTACCTCCACAAAAGGAGGCTCATCAACAAGCACAATTTCTTTTCCCTTTTCATTGGCCGAGACTTGTTTAGCTTTCCCTTTTGGAGGATTAAGTACAAGGCATGAGAAGGGATGGTGGCCATACTTCTTACAGTGAAAGCAATATTCCGGATAAGTTTCATAAATTATTTGTTGCATATATTCCTTTCCCGAAGGAGGGACAATAGGAAATTGCATCACCGGAGGTTTCGTAACATCAATTTCAATGAGCACTCGGGCAAAGTGAGTATACACAGTGTCCTGTGTAACTTTATCAGTAGTAATAGGAACCCCCACTTTTGAAGCAATCATCCCCACCTCTTTTGCTTTCCACAATCTCATAGATAATTTGGGAAATTTAACCCAAATCGGTACTTTAAGAAATTCCTCACTATCGGTTGAGAAGTCTTCGGAGAGTTCCTTCAGGAACATGGTCTTTCCATGCAGGACATATGGGCCCTCGGCCAGAACATGAACACGGTCCTCCTCGGTTTTAAATTTGAAAATAACCCATCCTTTACTATGGGATTTTACATCGACCTCCAACCCCCATTTTCTGGTAACATGGATGGCCTTCAAACCCGGGAATCTCCCAGAAAAGTGACCAACTAAGCAGTAGCCCCAGACCTCCACAAGTGTAGGCACCTGTTGATGTGAGAAATCTAGTTTTTCCCCGTTGGAGGGAAATACTCAAGCTTTAGGCCATTGGCAGGGGCTCGGTTGTCTCGAAATAAGGAATTCCATTGCTTGGGATCCTTGTCATTATTTTCTTGCTCCTCAGTTTGCTTCAAAAGGACCGTATCATGTGGAGGTTTTTTCGAAAATAATACTAATATAAAAAATATTTACCAAATTGATGTTGAGTTAAAAGTATTTACCAAAGTATTGCTGGGTAACTCTGGTTAACACAGAGTCGCCAACTGATTTGGCGACTTACGTATACGTGAGAAAGCCTGCGCATAAAGCCATAAAGGAAGAGGAAAATAGTGGGACAATAGTGGGACCCATCAAAATTTAAAAAACAATTGTTTTTAAAAATGTGTTATAACTTTTTTATTTGTATTCAGGTTGTTACAAAAAATATATCAACGTTCATAATTTTTTATTACCTTTCATATGACACCAATATTGCATATGTAAAAATTAAAAAATAATTTAACACTTTTTAAAAAATGTTTTTAAAAGTGTTGTAACTATTTAATTTGTACTTCGATTTTTACAAAAAATATATCAAAATTATTTAAATTTTTATTATCTTTCATATGACACCAATATTGTATATGTGCAAATTAAAAAATGTCATTATTTTTGTCTTGTGTTTAAGTCAATTTTGGTCATATTTCACGTTAACCTCATAATCTATCTTAAAAAGATAACCAGATATACGTGAAAATCGGGATTACGAGGTCGTCAAGAGTCATCTTATTAATTTTATAAGTACATGTATTGATATGATACTTTTTAAAGTGCTAAAATATTTAAAGCTAAATATTTTTTTCATTTATACATCCACAATATTAATTTTGTATGAAAGATAATAAAATCTTATCAATTTGATATATACTTTGCATCAATCGGAGTAGAGATGAAAAAGTTACAACACTTATAAAAACAATTTTTGAACACTGTTAAATTAGATTTTTAAAAAAAACTATTACATTAGTTTTTAATTTTTATTCATGCAATATTGGTGTCATATGAAAGGTAATAGTTTTGATACATATTTTGGAACAATCGGAGTACAAATAAAAAAGTTGCAACACTTTAAAAAACAATTTTTTGTACAATTTTAAATTATTTTTTAACTTTTACATATGCAATGTTTGTGTTATCTGAAAGATCATAAAAATTTAAATAATTTTGATATATTTTTTGTAACAATCAAAGTACAAATTTAAAAGTTACAACACTTTTAAAAACATTTTTTAAAAAGTGTTAAATGATTTTTTTATTTTTACATATGCAATATTGGTGTCATATGAAAGGTAATAAAAAATTATGAATATTGGTATATTTTTTGTAACAATCCAAGGACAAATAAAAAAGTTATAACACTTTTTAAAAAACAGATTTTTTTTAAATTTTGATGGGTCCCGCTATTATCCTCCTCTTAATTTATGCCTTTATGCCCAGCGGATTTTTTTTAAATTTATCTCTGTTAACCCTAGTTTAAACCAGTATTACTTTGGTAAATATTTTTAACTCAACATCAATTTGATAAATATTTTTTTTATTAGCATTATTTCTGAAAAAAACTCTATCATGTGACCCCAGGGAAATAGTCCCCTCGGTCTCATCAGTGCATTCCACCTCGTGTTCATCCGTAGTTTTAGTGACGGGGCCATCCCCATAGTTTACTGGTTTCTCCCCAAGAGATATTTCCTGTGAGGGCCCTGCTTTTGAAGATATAGCTCCCATTCCCAAAAGAGCCTCAGTGAAAGATGCATTTGATTCCGTGGCATTGGTAGCAAGTCTCCCAGGTTCAATAGAAACCGCGGCATTGGTAATCTGTCCCCCAGCTTCAGATGCTGCCGTGGCACTAGCATTAGGTCCAAGAGTTTCAGTACAAGCCGCCGCATTGGAATCAGTGGCTTCCGTGGAGTTGGCAGAAAAAACCATTCTAAATCTACATAATGTAGATTTGGCAGAAAAAACCATTCTAAATCTACTTCCGCGTAAGAGTTTCAGTACAAGCCATCCATTGGAATCAGTACTCGTCCTATTCCTCTTTTTCCGTTTTGGAGATTAAAGTTATAAAACAATCATTCTAACTTTTATTTTCATAAAAACCCATTCTAAATCTACATATTCCCTCCTTTCCATAAAATAGTTCTCGCATTGACTTGAATCAGAGTTTAAAAAAATAAGAATAAAGTGGAAATTTATGATTGTGATTGTGTAAGAAAAAGGTAAATGAATGTGAGCCACACAAAACTTTCCAAAAGGGGAAATGAAAATTATTTTTTGGGATAGTCCAAAAAGGAAATCGAGAACTATTTTGCGGGCCGGAGGGAGTATATCTTAAATTTTGGGATGGAGGTAGCAGCAATTTTCTTATCCCTTAATCTTAAGAAAATGTTTCTACTTCTATCGTTGAACGAGATGGACGATTCTAACTTTTTTGGTTGAAGAAAAGATATATAGTGTGTCCCCACCGCACTAGCAGCATATGAAAGCTAGCTAGGTTTTCACAATGTTGGGCCATCAATAATTCATTCCCTTGGATGGGATCGCATTCTTTTATGCTTGCTTTGTCCTATCTTACAATTGTGTAGATGTAAAATAGTAGCTCCGTCCCTTAAAACTTTGCTAAGTTTGACCGGCACGAGGATTAATAAAATGAAATCTGTGTGGTTGAGATTTGTGCAGAGGAGAGAGAATTAACGGGAACCACAAATTTTTTACTTAAAAGGGAAAATGACAATTAGTGGGACATCCAAAAAATGAAAGTTGACAAAGTTTTAAGGGACGATATAAAATATTGCGTATGTGCATCAAATCTCGAGTGGGAAGCGTTTTGCACACATCACCCTCGCCCACTCTACGCCTTTGCCATTGATAGGACGTGGAGAGTTTTTTTTCATAAAACAATTAGTATGGGGTGGGGTAATTGGTAGCTGTTCTTGGAGGCCTTTTTATAGGGTGGCCTATCATATTCCTGGCATAGGTGTTCTTTGCTATACTTTCCTCGACACCGTACATGTCAAACTATTAACACTTCAAGTACATTAGTGTCCAGCTAACCTCCAAATTGGTTGAAACACTTTAATTTGTGGAGTAGAATTTTATAAATCTATAATAACATTGACTGAATATTCTGAATTATAAAAAATATTTAAAATATATTTTATTAATAAAATTAAAACAACCTTACTTATTTATATTTAAAATTATAAAATTAATAAATTTTATTTAAAATTGTTTTCTATTATAATTTCGGCTAATTCAGCTATAAAAGTAACGACAGCCTTACTTATTTTCATTATAACACAGTATTGTCACTATTGTGCGTAAAATCATAAACTACATAGGGAGTATTTAGTACAAAATTGGCTAATGAGATTGATAAGCTGAAAATAGAGGTTACCAAACAGACTTTATTTTGAATAACACATCTACTCTCTTTTTTTACCATCAAGCCATCTGGGTACCCGTAAATAAACGGCTCGGGTCGGACTCAAACCGGCTTTTGTAACATTTTTGCTCATTGACATGGGCAACCCCGTTTCAACGCATATCTTGATCAAGTAAATACTATATTCATTTCATTAGGAATTGGTTAAATTTAACATAATGAGAATTTTCAATCTAGGACATGAAAGAACTATTTACTATCAATAAGGGTTTTCAAAAACAAAATGTGTCAATATATGACTAAAATAATTGACAATTATCAATCAAAGACCCAAAAAATCATAGAATTTGATTCATTAGATTTATTTTTGTGTTTTTTTTTTCAAAAATATTATGAAAATAAAACTTATTTACACAAGAGTTTTTTCCTAAAACATTACTAATAAAAAATCTGTGGACAAAAAGTGACCATAAATTACTATGAGTAAGTTTTATAGTCACTACAATATAAGTTTTGAATACACTTCTAAGTCACTAAAGTTACTAAGGTCACATTTTTGTCCACTACTTCTGTTTTGATTATATATTTGAAATAATTTCATTTACACAAATATTTTGCCTAATAATTACTACTCCGTACAATGCAGTGTCATGGTAACTTAAGTCTAAATTGAACATAAGTTCCTATGATTTCATTACTACTTTAATCACTAGACACATTTTCGTAAACAATCTTTATTTTAGTCATAAATATGTAATTATTTCTTTATTCATTCCATCGCTAATTATTTATGATTTTTTCTTCTCAAAAGTGTATCGATTTAATAAGTTTAAATAATATTAAAATTCAAGATAATTTATGTCTTAGATTGTTAGTTTAATTTGTAATCATTTGGGCCGTATACCAAGACATGTTATTTTCAGGTCCCTTATTAATAGTGACCTTATGTTTCAGCTTCTGAATCTATAACATTTCATATGAGAGAATGTACACGCTATAGAAAAATTATGTCAACGCGGCGTCAACCCATTGAAATATTATATGCTATGAGTATTTGCGATAAGAAATACTTCCTCCGTTCCCTTTTAATTGCAACAGTCAACATTTCACGTTTAACAACGCACAAGTTTGACCATTAATATATTTCATTTCTTATTAGTAAAAAATTCAAAAAATTCATATTTTGAAAATTTAGAATGAGAAGAACTTAATAATATTTTTTTAAAACTTTATTTATAATACATTAATGAATAAAATATAGTCAAAGTAGAATATGTGAATAGTGTAAAAAGTCCAATGTTGCGATTAAAAGAGAACGGAGGATAGTACATATTAAATCCTAATTTTAAGATCACTCACCCTTTGAATCCATCAATCCAATTCAAATAACGTCTTTTTTCAAGCGTTGGACGAAATGCATCTTTGGTACATCAATTGATAGGTATAATAGGCTTAATGTCAGATCCACCAGAACAAATGGTTTATTAACTCATTCAAGTACTCCAATTTATATGAAGGACTTTATTTAACGGAATATATTATTTCTTGCTAAAGACCCATAACGGGGTGGTGTACTCTACTGTTTGAACATCAAATGTTGGATATCTCACTCGCAGACTTGTTGAAGTAGTTCAACACAATGTGATGCCGAAAAAGGATTTTTATCCAAACGTTAAACGATATATTTATAGGCTCACACTATATTGCCACCAGGAACCAAAACATTGATTTGGACATTCAAATATATTTATAAAATTATGAGCCTAATCAAATATTGATTAGAACTCTCTTTACTTGTTGGAGTACATCTTGGATTTGTCAAAGCTACACACATGGACAAGAAGGCATTCTTAAGAAAAACTGAAATATAGAAAAATGATTCCGTTACTAACCACCAAAACACATCAACAATCCAATATCAACTATTTCATTTGTTTAACCGGATCAAAAGTGCTTCTTTTTCCCAGAATAAACATTAATGGGAAGGGATGTAGTTAAAATGAACATGTCGTAGTGTGATAGTGTCAAACTGTAATGAACAAGTAGAAAACGGATTTGGAGCATATATACGTTGGAAAAAAGTTCCTAATGTTAACTGTTAAGATACTTTAAATGCCTTTCTTGTCATGAGGTTTAAACTCATCCACCAACGTTCAAGGAACAAAGAGCAGGTGAAAAACCTCATGTTTGAAGGTACAAACTTTTTTTCAAATGACTTTAAAAGTAAGGATTGAATACCTACCAAACATTGAACCAGTACTTGCATACTTGATGAAATATCTACAAACATTAGAAGTCTTGAAAACCTAATAAATCCTAGATTGATTAACCCCCTGACTAAATTCATAGATATAGGCAAAAGATCAGAGACACTTCATAACCCAACAACTAAAGGCTAACCCACTAATGTTTTACGAAGTACAAAATTTAGCAACTACTTACCTTCAGAAGCTGATTACGGAAATAAAATCATAGTTGCAAAAGCTTCTTAATGTCAGCCTTGAATTTAACCATCTGCTGCTCAACTTGGCTCGATTTATCATTCACATTTTGCTTTTCCTTATGGAGCTTAGCCACCTCCAGCTTCAGCTGGATGGTACGATTGACTGCATTTTGCTTTTCTTTGCGGAGCTCAACCATCTTATCTTCAACTTCCCGTCTCTCTTTGTTTAGCTTAACCACCTCGTCTTCTAATTTCCTAACTTTGTTGATAGCATCCTGCTTCTCCTTGCGAAGGTTACACATCTCCTTGTGAGCTTCATTTAGCTCATTCCTTAATAGATCATCCCACTCCTGCTTAATGTCGGCAAACTCTTTGGAGTTCTTGAAAGATTCAACCGCAGTTACAACCTCAACCCCCTTAACAATCAAATCAGTCTTGAGCTTGTCTAGATCAGCCTTGAGATTGGTAACTTCATCCTGCAACTTAACTTTTGCATGTCCAGCCTGATTAGCCCTCTTAAGTGCGTTTTCCTTATCCCTGCGTAAGATAGTGATCAGTGTTTGGGCATCTTGCAAACACTTTATTGCCTCAGATTTTTTCTGTGAAAGGAGATTTATCTCTTTCTTCACACTGTCTAGCTCTCCTCGGATCTTCTCTGTCGGTTCCTCTGTGGAATGATCAGGATAACTGTCAAACATCTTCTGTTTCTTCTTTGGTGTTGCTGTTACAGGTGGTCCTTCAGCACTAGCTTTTCGCACTCCTGAATCAAGAAATCCATATAAGCTCCAAAAGTTCTCATATTGAAGAGGGCTCAAATACTACCTCCGTTTTTCTTTATTTGTTCAGAATTCCTTTCAGAATGATTTTATTTATTACTCAGTTTCCATTTTTGGCCATGCTTGCCTTACTTTTTATTTTATGTTTCTAACTTCTCCTTCTACATTATTCACAACTCTACTATTTTCTTCACACTCTGTGACAAATCTATTGGAACAAATAAAATCAATGAAGGGAGAAATGCAGAGGACGAAACCCAAGGACGTCTCAAAGTTTATAAGGCCGTGTGCTAATTATAAAAATAAAGATATATAAAAAAATTGCACCTTTCTTATCATATTGATCATATGATCATATTTTAAAAAAAAAGAGCTTTTATAATTTATATAATGTAAACTATATTTTCAAAATTATAAGCCTTTTAGAATAGGAGGCACGAGTTGTAGCTTTGGAGTTTGGACGCTCTCACCTGAAGAAGAGCCATCTGAGTTTTTGGTTGTGTGGCTTCAAAGTTCATTATAAGGATTATTCTTTACCATCAGAAGCTAAGATGGCATAAAAGCAATAGCAAGAGTAAAAAACAGAAAACATTAAGAGTAATATGACCACGAAGTCCGTCAGTCCACAAAAAAAAACTTCAGTGGCTTTGGTTGGCATTCTTAGATGGAGTGGTCTTTAACTGTGCGTTTTCAGTTTTGAGTAATGTGACCTGGCTATATCACTTATAAGTTACCAACACAGCTGATTACAATGTCAATACTATAGATTGAAAAGAAAAACTAAAGCCAATAAAGAAAATGACAAAATGGACACTTATAAGTTTTATAAGTCAACTTGTGAGCGCTTCTCCACCTGAATCAGTATCTTTAAGCACAATGGACACTTATAAGTTTTATAATGCTTAAATGAGAAATCATCATGTCAGGCCGGCCTGACGGGCTGCCCCGTCCGGCCGAGCCCGTTTGGGCACCTTCCCGGTGGAATTTTTTGATGAAATTTTTTAAGCATGTTCCTCATCAAGTCTAGTTTGTCCATACCAAATTTCAGCTCAAAATTCGATCGGGAAGGTCGTCAAATGATTTTTGCAAGTTAACTGGTCCGGAATATGTATTTTCCGGACCAGTTAACTTGCAAAAATCATTTGACGACCTTCCCGATCGAATTTTGAGCTGAAATTTGGTATGGACAAACTAGAATTGATGAGGAACATGCTCAAAAAATTTCATCAAAAAATTCCACTGGGAAGGTGCCCAAACGGGCTCGGCCGGACGGGGCAGCCCGTCAGGCCGGCCTGATGAGAAGAGCTCTCATGCTTAAATTACATAAAATAGACAATCTAAAAATTGTACAACTTTTAGCATCTCGAATAACACATAACATTCCTTTCAAAAAAAAGAACTCCGTAACACATAACATCTAGAAAAATCAATAACTACTAATGCATAGTAAATTTTTAGGACTCCCGTAAAAATGGCCCCCGATGCCAAGCACATGTAGCACCTAGGGATGGTAATGGGGTGGGTTTGGGGCGGGGGTACACTCCCCCATCCCCCACCCCATGTCTAAAAAGTTCCGCCCATCACCGCCCCATCCCCCGTTACTCCCAGACCCGCCCCATCCCGCCCCACCCCCATTGTCCCCCACGGGTGCCCACGGGTGCCCACGGGTGCACCCATATAAATTTAATTTATCGTATTTGCATATACTTTTAATCTCTTATTATAAATATATGTAGTCCGATTCCAATGAAAACGATGCTTAACGTGGGAACACTCACATTTAATCTAATATGATACACAATAATCCAATGTGACACACAATAGAGCCATTCTAGTGCACATTTGAACTTCGCTCAATACAAGTTAATATAAATAATCACGGCGGCACTTTTGTAAATATTATGCTAGATACAAAAAAGTGCATTGTGCGAGTCCATTGTGCTTCACATTGGGGGTAAATGTGGTGTTCGCACGTTCTCATGTTAAACGTTGTTCTCATTTGATCCTAAGCCTATATATATCTACGCGCACACAGTGATATATGACACACACACACGCAACACTGAAGTATTGTGTTTGTTAAAAGTTAATACCACCAATTTTAATAATTCTTCAATTTGAATAAGTTTTGTGAATTGAAGACAATTAAAGTAAAAATATAAGTAAACATATATCATCATGTACGTTGTTTCAAAATTATCAACAATTATAATACAATTAATTACATATTATATTACATATAAATGTTTGTGTATTTATTTACTCACTTTCTCACTCTTAAAAATATTTATCATAAATAACATTTATGATAAATATTTTTAATCATCACTAGCTTATTATTATTCTAGTATAATATGTATTAATTCATTAACCATGATTAAACCGTATACAATTATGTATGTCTATATGTATATGCGTTTGTTATATACTACAAATAATTTAATTTAATATGTGTATATATATACATGTTTGAGCATATATTTATAACGGGGACAAGGCGGGGACAGGGCGGGTGTAGCAATACCCGTCTCTCACCCCATATTTTAACGACGTAAAAAAATTTCACGCATCCCAGCCCCCACCCCGCCCCATCCTTCCCCCGCGGGGCGGTTCCCCACGGGTCCCCGCCGCCGCCTCTTAAAAGAGGCTCTGAAATTAGGCAGAGGGTTTTTTCTGCCTAAGAGTGTGTTGGGCGTCTGGGTTTTAGACGGGAAGAGCCATAAAGTGTTCATTTCTTTAAGAAATGAACACTTCAAAACTACAAGGTTCGTATTATAGTTAAGGGAGTGCTTATAATTATTCCTCACTTTTCTAGTAGTAATAGTTTATCCAATCAACAGACTGAACACTACCATTCAAGATTCAAGATGTGCAAAATAATCACGAATAGATCAATTAACAGTTAACACACCTACAGAATTCTGAGCATAGTCGAGAGTGGAATTCGGAAAGTAAGAGAAAAGCACGTACCCAGACCGGGAAGACGGAAGGTTAATGGAGTATTATCATCCGATTCCATTTGTATGTTATTGGGGGTTGGACCCTTCAGAGTATCTCCATCTAAACGAAAAGGCGCAAACAGATTTGCGTTATATTTTCCGGAACCTCTGCGCTGGGTTCAAATCAAAATAAATTGAATTATAACCAAATCAAATTGAATCGTAAAAAATCAAAACGAACTGCCGGTTTGATTTTGGTTTGGATCTTTCAAATCAATAGCGAATTCAACTATTTTTTTTACTGGAATAGCGAATTCAACTATATAAATTGAATTAATTATAATAGGAGTATGAAATTATATTTGATAAGTATGAAATTATATTGAAAAAAGGGGTAAACAAGGGCACGTACTAACAAAAAAAAGTCAAATAAGGCCTTATTTAACAGACTATGTCCGTCCTTCGCCATTTGGGGTGGTTCCCGATGAAATTTTTTGATGAAATCTTTTGAGCATCTTATTCAATAAATCTAGTTTACTCATACCAAATTTCAGCTAAAACTTCAATTGAGAAGACATTCAAATGAATTCTTGAAGATAACTGCGCTTTTAACTACGCAGTTATTTTCAATAATTCATTTGAATGCATTCCCGATTGAAGTTTTAGCTGAAACTTGGTATGCGTAAACTAGACTTATTGAATAAGATGCTCAGAAAAATTATCAAAAATTCCACTGAGAACCAGTAGGGATGGCAATGGGGCGGTTCGGGGACGGTTTTACATATAACCGTACCCGCCTCGTTGGATAATTTCCCCACCCCATAACCGCCCCATTACCCAACGGGTAATTTTTACTCAAACCATAACCGCCCCAACGGGTAACGGGTAAAATTTCGGGTAACCGCGGGTAACCGTTTTATTAAATGAATCATTAATTTTTTTATATAAAAATAATATTTTAAAAGCCGAAAAATTGCATTGCCTAGACGACTCTAGAATTTAGACGCCACTTTAAAGATCCATATATCTACAAGATGAGAAAGGAAGCAACTAAAATTAATTTGAACCTAAAAATACTTAATCTAAAAAATAATTAATCACGAAAAAATATGATAATAATAAAAAAAAGTCTATTAAAATCTATTTTGAATTTTCATTCATACATTATAGTTAGTACATCTATAATCTAAATATACATAATGGAAAGAGAAAATTTTCATCTTTTAATATTTGTGGGACAAATAATAAATAAAAATGTAATAAAAATATAACTAAAAATAAACGGGGTGGGTACGGGGTGGGTAATGGGGCGGGCATGTATAAAACCATAACCGCCCCATTACTCGTAAAAACAAAACGGGTACTCCCCGCCCCGTACCCGTTACCCAGTCAATTCGATTTTTCCCGTTTTGGCCGGGGTGATCCGGTGCAGGTATCCGTCGGTTCGGTCACAATTGTCATCCCTAGATCAGGCTAGATCAGACTTGGACAATTATAAAATACACAATGACCAGACATCTACCAGACCATATCAGACCAGTTCAGAAGGAATCAGATCAAACCAAACCAAATCAGACCGGAATATTCTAGTCCAAGTAAAAACATCCTTAATTGATAGAACCACATATAAAGATGTGCTATCAATTGACACCACTCAAATATTTTTGTAATTATATATATAAAGGATTTTTTTTATTCTAAAAAAAAGGTCTAAAATGAATTGAAAATAAAATGTCAGAATAAACACTAAAAGCAATTAGAGCATATTTGTCCTATATATACAAATATGAATTGACTTGTACAGACAAAAAATGATACTCCATATAACTTTTGAAAATAATAGATCAAGAGTGAAATAGAACAAATTTTCATTAAAAATTCAGTACGGGTTTTAATAATAAAATAGTCGGGTAAAGTAAAATGTGTAGTGAGGCGTAATTAAACGGAAAAGTAGGAAAAAGAATGGATTAATAGATGAAATTAAGTATGTGGAGGAGGAAAGGAAACAGAAAAACAATGATAATCCAAGGAAAGAGAGGATGACTTTTCCATCTTTCCATGCGTACAAAAAATTAAAGGGCCCTACTTCCCTTTCCTATTGCCGCCCAAACAAGGAGAAGATTACATTTCCCTCCAAATCAAGCCCTACAAGACCCACTATAAATACAAAGGGCTATATATTTTTAGACTTCTATCCCAAAAATTGCAAAACAACAAATGTAATCAGCTTTTCTGCACATCTGAGCCAGTAAAAGAACCAAGAAGCATCACTCTATCCACACATCTTTTCAAGCAGATCTATTCTTCACATGAGTGCAACAGCTTTTGATTGTTTTCCTCCAGAAGAGATGCTGCTGATAGAGCTGGGGCTTGCAGCTGAAGAAGATGAAGTTGTTGCAGATTTTGAAGATGACCGCCCATTTCTTGAGAACACAGAACCAAACACACAACATTCTGAAGGTAATGTACCTGCAAACAAATCTACATCAATGAGCATGACAAAAAGAAGGATAATAGCAGAAGATTTGTTATCAAAGGCAAGTGAAAATTCATAGACTAAACTGTTGACTTGTAAGAGAGGAGTAATGAAAGAACTTGCCAGCACTCACAATGTTTGCACCAAGACAGTCTGTAGAATCTGGGCATCAACAAAAATCAATTTGAACAAGGTTTGGAAATTAACACAGAAGGTAAAAGGAAAGGGAACTGTGGTAGGAAAAGTATATCAATTGACATTGAACAGATACGTGTCATTCCAAAGAGCAAGAGGACCACCATGAGAAGCTTGGCAGCTTCTCTCAGGGTGAGTGTTTCCAAAATCCATAAGTTACTAAGTACATGTATTATAAGAGCACATATAAATGCAATTAAACCTTCTTTGAATGACAAGAACAAACTAGACAGATTGAAGTGGTCAATGTGTCACATTATTCCAAGAAGCATCACTCTAACCTCCACAGTTTACAAGTATGTTCAATGTCATACATGTGGATCAGAAGTGATTCTTTATGAGCCAAGTTACTCAACGATACTATCTTTTACCCTCAGAGGAGGACCCTCATAGAAGTTGTCAAAGTAAAAGATTTATCAACAAGGTTATGTTTTTGGCAGCCATAGCTAGACCATGAATCCATGATGATGGATCAATTATATGGGATGGGAAAATCTGAATTTTCCCTTTCACAGATTCAGTGACATTATCTCTGAAACCAGTTAGTCCTGTAATCTTAGAATAACCAACAACAACTCCCATTTCTCTTGCTACGGCTCCATAATTTATGCCAGCTGTGATATAAACCAACGTAATACTTTATGGAAGGACCTTACCCTTTTCCACACTAACCTTTCTGACCAGCACTGGGTTTTAGGGGGAGATTTCAACACCATCAGAGAACTCCAAGAGTACAGAGGTAGATCTCTTCCTAACAAAAACTCTATCAATGCTTTCAATGGTTTTATTGTTGATAATGACCTTACGGATGTCCCATTATCTGGTGGTAACTTCACTTGGATGGGATCACGTAAAGGGGGATTTGTCTTCAAAAGACTTGATAGGGTTATCATCAACAAAAAGTTTTTCCAATCGGATTTCACTTTCACTTGCACTAAATTACCTTTTCTTTCTTCTGACCATACTCCCATGCTTTTCCAAATAAACCCTCCCCCCACCCACACTCAACCTACTGCTTTTAGATTTCAAAACTTTTGGATCCCCCACCCTGATTTCCTTACCACTGTCTCCTCTTCTTGGAATGAACAGTGTGAAGGTTATGGCATGTTCCATTTTGCTCAAAAACTGAAAAGGCTTAAAAAGGACTTAAGAAATTGGAACAAGAACTCTTTTGGTAACATTTTTCAGAATCTTCAAAAGGCTGAAGAAGATCTCACCCGTAAAGAAGAAATATTTTTAAATAATGATAACCTGGAGAATCTTAACAATTTTAAACAAGCTCAGGCCATCTACTCCCTTAAACAAAAAGACATCACCTCTTATTTTAAGCAAAAATCTAGAATAAATTGGATCAATCAGGGTGATGCTAATACTATATTTTTCCATTCCTATGTTAGGGCCAACCACCTAAAACTTAGGATCCACCACATTATTGACTCCAATGGTATTTTAGTTGATGACGTGGATCAAATTGGGGAGATGGCCTCCACTTTTTTCAAAAACCTTCTCACGCAGGATGGGGATTCTCCCACGGATCTTTTTGATAAAATGCTTAACCACCTCCCTTCTATTATTACTGAGACTGATAATGCTACTTTGCTGGCTACTGTCACCATGACTGACCTTAAAAATGCTGTTTTCAAACTCAACAAAAACAGTGCCTCCGGGCCTGATGGGTTTAATGGTCAATTTTATCAGTCTTGCTTCAACATTATCAAAGAGGATCTTTTGAATGCCACTAGAGAATTCTTTTGCGGTGTTCCTGTTCCCAAAGCTGTTGGTCACACTTTCATAACTCTTATTCCTAAAGAATACCAACCGACCTCTTTCAACAAATTTAGGCCTATCAGCTTAAGTAACTTTCTTAATAAAATTTTCACCAGAATCTTGACTGACCGTATCACTCCTTTCCTTCAAAAAATCATTTCTAAAGAACAAAATGCTTTTCAAAAAGGTAGGGACATTTCTGACTCGATTCTTGCTATGCGAGAGATTGCTAGATTTCTCCCTAACAAAATAAACGGTCATAACGTTTTCTTCAAAATTGATTTTACCAAGGCTTTTGACCATATATCTTGGCAATTCCTGAGTTCCACTCTCCTTAAGCTTGGTTTCCATCAATTGTTCATAAATCTGATTACTAACAACCTTAGAGGCACTTGGTTTTCTGTCCTTATTAATGGCGTGCCCAAAGGTTTTTTAACCCCTCTAGGGGGGTTAAGCAAGGTGACCCTCTTTCCCCTCTTCTTTTTATTATTGTGTCGGAGGTTCTTTCTAGGAATCTTAATCACCTATACAATAGTGGTGGTGGCAGACCCTTCCACTCGCTTGTTGGTATGCCTATTATTTCCCATCTTTCTTATGCGGACGACCTTGTTATCTTTTCAAATGGGAATAAGCGCACTCTGGGTAAGCTCTTTGACATTCTGAACCTGTACGAGTTATGTGCTGGTCAAAAGATCAACCATGGTAAAAGTTCTTTTTTCACTGCACCTAATGTTCCTGTTAACACTACGCATATGATCAGAAAAGTTTCCAAAATGAACAAGGGGAGTTTCCCCTTCCTTTATTTAGGTGTTAACATTTTCATTGGTAGGAATAAGAAATGCTATTATCAGCATCATGTTAACAAAGTTGATAATAAAATTAACATGTGGTTCAACAAAAT